GAGGCGAAAATTTTGCAGTGACGCTAGATTAGGGAATTTTAGGGGTTTTTCTTATATTAATCTCATTTGAAATAATTCATCAACATCATTACTTGATAGAAATTTCCGTAATGGTGAATCTTGCCTGACTGCAGGTCTAAACCGCTTGGTCAGTGGAGTGTAAAGGTTTTGAAAATTATTTGTCAATAATTGTTTGCCAAATGGTTTCTTCTTCTTTTGCCGGTTCAAAATAATAATAATAAATGTTATTGTAAATTTTTATATAAAATACATTTACTAACGCCCGTTATTTCAGTACAGAGTTATAATCCAGGGTAACAAACCTTGGTTAAATCTTAACGTAAATTTTAACCCTGAGTGCAGGGTTATTTCAGTGCTGGGAATTGGTTTAGTGGAAATTAGATTAAATTAACCAAAATTCTCAATTTTTGGTGATGGCTACACTGAGTCTAGGGACTTAAATGGCGCATGCGTCAATTGCATTTCGCTTTGAATTTTGAAGTTTGTTTGGTGTTCCACGTATTTTCGGCTTGAGTGTTTTACCAAAATGAAAAATTTTATTAACATTATTGACAGTTTGATTTGAAGTTGATTTCTCTTCCGAAGACCAAGAAGAAGAAATTCTTCATTTCGTCGTGCATTTGGGTCGGCCTCTCAGAATTCCGCGTGGACCAGTTCGAAGAGACCATTTTAATTATTCGGATGATAACGAATTCTGTAGAATTGTTACAAATAATAAACGATCAAATTCAATATCTAACTATCTATCTAATAAGTAGAGTTAGAAAAATTTGAACACTGCATTAGTTAACTTGAAAAAAATTGGTTAAACCGACGCATTTCTTCAGTCAACTAAAATACGCCAAACCAGGAAATAAATTGGTAACAAGATTTTTTTTTGGTTTTAACCGTCAACTGAAAAACCGGGCGTAAAGGGTAAAGTTAGCAAGCTGCCCTACACTGCACCTATAATAATCAACATAAAGATAAGAAAAGTTTAGTTATTTTGACTTCTTTTAAGCTCTACTATCACCTGTTACAATATTTTTCTATTTCGGTCACATTGAGTATTTTCTGTAACTGAAAATAGTTGCACAAAATGCAGTTTTGTAACATTGTTTTTGGCAACATTTTATGCACTACTTTTGCCATCACAGTCGTTTTTAAGTGAGAAACTGTTATACTTAGATCAACGTATTTCACCGAAACTAATGCAATTTGAACTATTTTCAAGCGATTTGGTAACCTCATACGTCAAATGTCATCAATTTTAACTGTCAAATACTATAATAATAAATTCAATTTAAAAGCGCTTCATAGAAAAAATAAAATAAAAAACACGTGTTACAACCTCTCATTCTGATACTCATTCATTTGTAACACTCGCCACTCCGTAGGTCGTGTCATAATGAGAGTGTAACACTTGTTTTTTAATATACTATTACTTATTTTGGTTAATCGAGGAAAATATTTTTGAGAACGATTTTTTATTAATCAATTTGCGGAGATATCAATTTAAACGTAGAAATATATATTGAAATTTATTGTTAATGGGGTACTATACTATAAAAAAAGAAGGCAAAATTTAGGTTTATATTATTCTTCGTTGTTAAATAGCAATATAACTAAAAATCGATTTTCAATTAAGCTGTAATTTTAAAACGGTATTACAACGCGCGTTTGATGACGTCGGGCCTCCCCGTCCAATCAGCAAACGAAGCGCTATTTTGTCTCTCTTACCCACGACTTTCGCAGACTGGAGCTTGGGTTAGAGCTGTCGGCTTTGGCTGATTTTGCGCGTTCGTCAGGGTCTGCTCACATCATCACTTGGCGCAAACATGGTGTGTTTATTTTGCACCAACTTCAATTTTTTTTTTCGCTTGAATGCACGCTTTCGCAAAAAACAAAAAACACGGGTATATTATTTTTTAATGTAGATTTAACTTAGACAATAAAAAAAATTATAGTATAGTACCCCATTGTAATTACATATCAAAATAGCGAGTGATCAAATTAAACATATTATTTGCATTTGTTAAGCTTTTTATAACTTTCGTCTTCTTTCTTGTTGGCATTAATGACATGTTATATTTCAAATTTTCTTTCATTGGAGTAGACATTTAGAATAGTAATTTCCAAAGCTACGTAAGTGATATACATGAGAGGGGTACTTCTGAATTTTTTTTTGTGCCGCAATTAACAATACAAATATCACTAACTGCTAAATTAAATATTTTTTTTTATTTTAAATTAGAAATCGAAGTAGGTTGAACAGATTTGTCAGAAACATCGGATTGGCAGATAACTTGCATTTAATCAAAATTCAACAAATAAATTAAGAAGTTAAACTAATGTAAAAGGTGTTCGAAGTGTCTACCATGGGCTTCTGTGCATTCGCCCAATCGGTTGGTAAACGATAACAAAACGTGTATCGTTTGAGGGATGATTTTTTTCTTTAATGTCAAATAGACAAGACTAACGGTAGCCATTATGCATTCAGTTATAATTATAACAGTTGTAACCAAGTCGATACAAACATGTCATTAGTTGTGTGTGCAGTTATTTTATGTTAATAGGGCGTGTGTATTGAAATTGTTAAAGGTGTCTGCCTTGTTTAAAGAATTTCATTTACGCTACTTGCATTTTTAAACGTTTTTCGCATATTTCTGTTGGGTCTAATGAATTTTTGTGAAGAGAAAAGGGTTGGGGCATTTTTTTTTGTATTGTTCACTTTATAGCGCTTTTCTCAGTCGCTTCAATTTGCATGTTTCAATCAATGAATCAAAGAATTAATTAGTTTTTATAGTCGACTGAATTTGTTCGTTTACCCTTTGTAAAAGAATATATTTTATACATTTTCTATCCTTCAATTCCCATGTTCTATTAACATCTCTTAGTTTATTAAAACAATAATTTCTATGTAATTATTTTTCGATTTTCAAATAATGATGGTGTTTTAGGAATGGACAGATACTTACGGACCAGTAAGGATTGATCAAAAGCAAACAGTGTTCGAAATCTAATGAAAATAAGTTGAAGTTGAAGTGAATAGTATATAACTTTATACACCTATCGAAATAGTATAGTAGAATAATTTAATTTTTAATTGTTAAATACAGACTCCTAAATGTCTGCCAATGTAAGTAATATCGAGCGATCAAGATAATTTGTAATCGAATCATTCTTGGATCTGAAAACGTATGTCTGTAAAATGTCAAATAAAATGACAAGTCAAAAGATAAATGGCATGATCAAAAAGGTGATGATTACAATAACTAAATTTATAATTTACCTTCAAAAAAGAACGTTCCGACTCGTATTATTATACGTCGGCGACTAATTCTAGCCCATTTTGCCGTTTTACCTTACGACTTATTTGACATTTTCCGTGAAGTTAGACTGAGTTAGACATACGTTCTCGGATGCAAAGATAACTCGATTACAAATTATCTTGATCGCTTGATATTAATAACCTTCTTACAATCATTACACAAAGATTACAGATCCTGACAACTGCAGTTAACTCTGATTTAACTGGATAATGCAATTTTTCGAGCCACCAAATTAAATTTGTTAAGAGTGAATGTGTTAACAAAAGTAGGACAAGAATGTGAAGACTGGAAATACACATAGCATGCTATTTAGCGATGGTCAGGACTAGGTTAAGGTTGTCTAGGAGTTTAATAAATACCAAAATCTTTATGGCAAACAAAATTGTGACTATTAAAATTTTCGCAGAGAGTACATGCATTTTATACAGAGAATACCAGAGTTTAAATTTTGCACTTTGACTCTACTTCTGTTGGAAAAATATTTTTTTAAGTTTTTTTTTGCTACAGGCTATTAGAAGAGGAAACAAGGAAGCTGTATACTAAATTGTAACTCTGTTTAATGTTATTTGTGGCTTTTATTGGCAAAATTTTTGTTCATTCACTAAATAATTATAAAAAAACTACAAGATTATTAAATATCATTAAATAGAAATAAAAAATGTCAAATGTCAAAAATAAATGTCAACGTTTTTTGAACGTTTTTTTTTTCCATGTACCTGGTATCTTATCTTACTTGAAATTTTTCTCTGGGGCGCAAGTTCTGACACACCCTGTATAACCAGGAAATTATGTAATAATTTGCAAAATAAGTGTTTTAGTTACAATTACAATTACACTTGAGTGCAAAATAAACACAAATTGATTTTTTTATAATGAAATGTAGCCTGTTAATAAATGCCAGTTTTTTCTCGTTGTCTTTGTCACAATTCACAATTTTATAATTGTCAGGCATCTTCCAAACTTCTATCAAGTTTTTCCATGTTTTTTTCATTTCGTTCGACCTAGGCAACGAACACTATCGTAACTTACTATTTTATATTTACCCGAGAAATAATAGCTACTAAGACAACAAGAGTTTTATAGACAGTTTAAAAATCGAGGTCGTAGTTTAAGTTGTGATTGACGACGTATTTTATAAAAGAGCGTATATTAACAGCAACATAATATATAAATAAGCTTATTAAATGCACCAAAGAAACAGTATAAGATATTAGTGTTGGAAAAACTTATGAGTTTTTATATTAATTTTAATTTGAACAAATGCCTGTATCTAAGTAGAAATATCTGTCTGGCTGTTACTCAATTTTTTGATAGTGCTATGATTATGAATTAGCTTACTGTTTACTCACGACAAAAAAATCTGTTTTTTTAATTTTCGTTGAATTAAAGAAAAAAATACGTTTATTTTAGATTCAACACAGATTTTCATACTTTCTCTACAAAACTCATTCACCAAGAAGATATTTAAAAATATTTGGATATCATAATCAACTGAAATCTTCATTACATGGGTCCACATGTGAATGTAAAATTTTGTTGTTATAAAATACACTACATATTAGTATAGCTTGATCTTGTTATTACGGGCGATGGTAAAATACAAATAGACAATCATTAATGATTGGCATTTGGACATTTCGATTAATCTCGGATGTGTTTTTGTTGTAGGCAATGGAGACGTACAGTGGTGCTTTGCTCAGGTGAAGGGAACGCTAGACGATGACGTGACCGAGGCTGATATAATTTCTTGCGTGGAGTTCAACCACGACGGTGAACTTTTGGCGACAGGCGACAAAGGAGGCCGCGTGGTGATCTTCCAGCGTGATCCGTCGTCAAAGACATCATTTCCACGGCGCGGCGAGTACAACGTCTACTCAACGTTCCAATCTCACGAGCCAGAATTCGACTACCTCAAAAGTCTCGAGATTGAAGAAAAGATCAACAAGATCCGATGGCTGAAACGTCGCAATCCGGCCCATTTTCTCTTGTCGACCAACGACAAGACCATCAAGCTATGGAAGGTGTCGGAAAGGGACAAGAAGGTGGAGGGATATAATACTCGGTCAGAAAACGGCTCGCTGATCGATCCGACAAATGTAAACTCGTTAAGGGTGCCAACTATTAAACCCATGGAGCTGATGGTGGAGGCGTCGCCGAGGAGGATTTTCGCCAACGCGCATACTTACCACATCAACTCCATTTCGGTCAATTCGGACCAAGAGACGTACCTATCGGCCGACGATCTGCGGATCAACCTCTGGCATCTAGAGATTACCGATCAAAGCTTTAACATTGTAGATATCAAGCCGACGAATATGGAAGAATTGACCGAAGTCATTACGGCGGCGGAGTTTCATCCGGTCGAGTGCAACCTGTTTGTTTACAGTAGTAGTAAGGGTACAATTAGGTTATGTGACATGAGGGCGGCGGCCCTCTGCGACAGACATGCTAAACTGTTCGAGGAACCCGAAGATCCGACGAACAGGAGTTTCTTTTCCGAAATTATATCGAGTATTTCCGATGTTAAGTTGTCGAATAACGGCAGATACATGATATCTAGAGACTATTTATCGGTTAAAGTTTGGGATCTACATATGGAAACCAAGCCAATAGAAACGTATCCAGTAAGTATTTATGTTCTTGTTAAGTTTATTGTGCGCCATGAGACGATTCGATTTTATTGTTATTGTGCTTCAACAAAAACTCAATTTATTTCAAACGGCATCTCTAAAATTAATGCTTATTTTATCGTAGACGTTAAACGACATTAATTGTATCAATGTACCAATAAACAAAGCGTGTGAAAGTGAAACCTGCAATTTGCATATGTTAATGAGTTTAAATTCAAAACTATTTACTATACGAGCAAATCCCAAAGTCATTAAAAAATCATTGTACATATTATAAATTATGCCCTATGGCTAAGGTTAGATCAAGTCAGTGGTAATATGATGAAGTCATTGTAAAACATACACATCATAATCGCATATAGGCAAGCCTAGAAATGGTATGTAAGAAAAACTTTAAAATGGATGTGACAAATTACTCTTTTGCAAAATTTAAATTTTATGTCTTGTGGATTCTACAAATGTTCGGCATCACCCGCAACCGTCATAAATTATAAAATATGTAGTCATTTCTCGAAATTATCTATTATTGGAATAATTTACAACTTAAGTTAATATTCTTTAAATAAAAAATACATTATAAAGTATAACTTTGTGCTACTTTCACTATCAGTACTTTTGATCTTTTCGTTATTTTACAAAAAAATATTCAGTTTTGCGGACATAAGTGGACCATTATGACACAAAAGAATTAAAAACATCTAATTTTCGCTAGTTTCCCATATCAACACAGTAGATATGGGATAGCCCTAGTCCGAAATACTAAATACTTTTTGAATGTTTTAGAAACCAGAAAATAATAAACCGTTGTATGTACCACAGGCATAATAGTGCTCGGGAAATTGCAAACCTTCCCTTCGCATTGGGTCTCCTAAATACCGGATGTCCAGTCTCATTCGCGAACAGGGATTTAACATGGTATTGTTTATTTTTTGTGATTCTTGTTCGTCAATACAACCTATCGAAAGATGGTACCTATCGAAAGATAAAATAATTTGACGTTAAATGATTCCAAAAATAAGAATAAAATTGGTATTTTTACTTTAAATGAAATAAGTATGCGGTACTTGTTGTCAGTAACGTCAAAGTTGTTTTTACAATTTATTTGGAGTTGAGTAATGAATGAATTATTACTTCAATGGGCTTCGCTGGTATTTGACCATTGTTGTTTTTAATAAAAACCAATTAAATTTTGGATTATGATAGCTGTTTATTTTATTATCAAAGAAATTGACAAAATACTTAAAAATCGCATTCAACATTATTTTGCTATGTTCGAGTTTGAGACCGGACACCCGGTATATCTTTATTACATAAATAATGATTAAAATTGTTAATATGACTTTCACATCTGTAAAAAATTATAACAAAATAATACATAGTTACGTTTTTGTTTAGCCTTTTGTGCTCGTTTAAAACAAAATTTTTCTCACGATGGAATAGAGACAAAAATGGTAAAAAGCTTCAATTTTTTTGTGGCTTTCATAAATTTCAGCTTGTGTCTAAATTATAACTACGAGTAACAATATTTTTCCTAGAAATTATATTTTTGCATCTGTTTATTTTGTTTACGTAATCTGGCTGTAACCTCCTATCAATTAACAAGTGTTTGCACATGATAGAAGCACTTAAACCAAATCGTGCGTAAATTGGATCTTCAATCGGTAATAACATCGATAGAAAGTTATTGCTTTTCCCAGTTGTGTAATAAACGACAACTAGGGAATATTTTTAAACTGAGAACCTTAATCAATAACGCTCCATCTCTTTTCAGTAGTTTCTAGACTGAGACAGCTTAGCTGTTCTAAACAAAAATAAAAATGTACAGGGTGCTGCATTTTGGATGTCCGAATAGGGAATCTCCGAAACTAATATTTAGCCAAAAACGAGTGATGCATTGTGGTGCTCATTTTTTGAGAAAATAGTATTGGTTAAAACTGCATGCCGCTATCGTCTTTTGTTTTCGACTTATAAACAAAAATTGACATTTTGTCGAAATCTAAAAAAATTCATATCTTCGTTGTTATAGAAGATACGGATTTGAAATAAAGACATTATACAGGCACTTTTTACGAGGAATTTAATAATGTAGTTAACAATTTTTTCAGTTATTGGTTTAGCCGTAATAAGATAAACTTGTATTTTTTTTATGTGGCGGCTATGGCAATTTTGAAAAGCTGTGTTAGATGCGTTTTATCCACATAATAATGTTTAACTGCGAGAACGTCAGTTCGAGCGGTTAATTTGCTTGAGTGGATAAAACGCGACTAACACGACTGCAATATAACGTTTTATCCACAATCACCGGCCCAAATTATTCGAAACTTAACTAAAAATTAAACTGACATTTAAACGTCACGCCAAATGTGCTTTCGATTAAACGTTTTAAGCTGTTCGCGGTGCGCTGGTTAAGTAACTTTATTCCACTAGTGGATAGAGTGGTATTTTATACGCATCTAAAGTGTGGAATAAAGTCTCTTTATAGAGTGATTGTGGATAAAAATATTTATTTGTAACAGAATATTTTTTTTTATAATTATACTTAAAAAATGAAATACATATTTTGTTTCATAATAATTGGCCATGGAAAAACTATTTCACTCCAAATGTGTAAATAATAATCAATAAGAGTTTTGTGAACTGTGAAATAGATGAAAAAATAGATAAAATTATAAAAATTTAAAAAATACGATACGTTAGAAGTATTGAACAAATATGCGAGCGACTCAGAACAAAATTATAACATATTTTTAAAAAATCCAAAAATAGGAAAAACAAATGTGTCAACAGTCAACACAATTAGAAAAAACATTTTTTTGATGATCTAATGGAGGTAGGATAACGTTCCACATAGACGGAATTTGGCTATTTGCAAAACCATATCGTCATTTTTGTGTCATATAAATAGTTATTTTCGATACAAGGGCGCTGTCAAATTATTTTTCAGGTCTGAGACCGAATTTTGCTGCACGAAGCGAAGCTGAGTGCTGCAGTGGAGGTCGAAAACCTGAAAATTAAGACGAATTTATTGAAAATTTTGAGGTTAATTTTGACAGATGTCAAATCAAGTATAATATATTCACTAAACTCCCGACATGTCAAAATGACATTAAGTTAGTTAAACAAAAAGTCACTATGGCTATGTTGGTGACAACTTCACTCAAAGTTTAACAACCTGGTCGCTATCACTTGATTTGAAATGATTTAATAATTATCATTGGTGCATGTGCCGTGTACCATGGAAACTTGACATCAAGTACAGTCAGATGAAATAATAGTCATCTGTGTCGTTTGGGATACACTCAAAAATTTTGGTTTGACATTGTAAACGTCACGGGAGTTTTGTGAATACATAATATATAAATTGAAAAATTTATATATTTAGTTATACAGTAAAACCTCCCTTAACGGACACCTCTTGATAACGGACATTTTTGTAGGAACGTAACTAATACATAGGAATGTAATGTAAAAAATCCTCTCTACAACGGACCCTCTGATTAGCGGACGCGGACAGTGAAATTTTCCCCATTTACCATAAATGTCATATAAATGCAACCAGTAGTGTACAGTTAAATGTTTTTGTTGCATTACCACCTACTTACTCACTTCAATAATAAGTAATATAAATAAAAAAAAAAAATTATCAGTAAATGTAAACTGTTTTAAAAATGAACTTTTTATACAGGCTGCACCAGAACTCGCGCCCCAGAGAAAAATGTCAAGTGCCGGCGGCAATGGGTCGCCACAAAGTGCAGCCGAAGAAGTAACTTTTGTTTGCATAAGAAAGTTATTAGACCCTTAATTCCGCCAATCCCAGAAGGGCACCTCAGGGTGGGATTGAAAAATTATATTTGTTGCTGGGTTACAAAAATAATACCCATTTGCCTAGAATCTTTAATAATTAGTTGGTCTACTGTAATTTTCACATCTGTCACGTGTTGACATAACACCCTATTTTCGAATATTTTTCTCCCCGAAGAGGTTGTACACGAGTGTAATGGTTTGAATTTGTGTTAGAGGTCAATTGTGTGGTTTGAGTTAATAAGTTTTAACCATGTAATTAGCCGCTGATTATTTGGAGATAATAACGCCAGGGAGGCAGCTAGGATATTTTCCGAACGTTTTCCTGCCAGAAATCGCCCATGCTATAAGGTCACATTGAGGGCCATTGCCAGGGTGCGCGGTCAAGTCCTACCAGACAGAACAGAAATTAGAGTTGTTCCCAGAACGGCGCGCATAGTTGAAAATGAAGAAGCTATATTCTAAGTAGATCAATCAGAGAAGTTGTACCTAGTCATTATAACTGACATACTCGTATTAGGCCAGTGGAAATTTCAAATGCTTTGTTTCCGGGGGCATTTCAGCAATGATTCCCAGTAAATTTGTGGACTGACTGAGAAAATTCCAAATGGAATTTCCAGGAGCATTTCAGCAATGATTTTCAGTAAATTTGTGGACTGTTGAGGAATATCAACTAATTTCAATATCAATATTGCAATACTCTTGTGGATTGTTTAATGAAAAAGGAAGCAAGGGGTCTTAGTGCAATGTGTGTTTTTAGGTTACACCACCGAACAAAAATACCTTGGTAAATCTACAATTATGATTTATGACAGTAAAAATTATCCTAACCTGTTTTGTTCACAAATTCTTAAAAAAGTACATTTTTCTGTTAGTTTTGCAATAAAGTAAAGAAACTGGCGTACCTTTTTGTCTTTCTGGTTAATCTAACTCTAGAATTAGTTTTCGGCTTGTTGTCTGTGTCATATCACTCATATCGAAGAAAAAGTTAAGTAGGAACAATGCTTCTGAAGAAAACATCTAAAAGTATTTAAATAGTTGTTGGTTCAACGCAATGGAAATCGAGTTTTCACAAATTTTCAACGATTTCGTCTCATTATACTTGTGCACAGCATCTTCAGCGAGAAAAATATTCGAAAATAGCGTGTTATGTCAAAAACATGACAGACAATTACAGTAATCCAACTATTTTT